TCACTCCCTGTCTCTCACCATCCGTCTCCATGTACACCACCACCAAGATCCCCAAAACCAAGTCCACCAAGACCAATGGTTGGGAACCTTCCATTTTCCTCACCAGACATCCTTGGAAAGGAAATTGGGCATTTGAAGGTACTAAAGCTTCACCAGTAATCAGATCCATCAGGGTACCCAGTTCCCACCTCATACTCACACACCTTGGCCTATTCATCATAGGACTCCATGAACAGATAGAGCGTCCTTCTTCCTTAGGGCTACCCAGAGGGTAGACAAGGTGATATCTGTGGGGAAAGGGGGCCCATAGTATCCTGTACCTTACTATAGCTCTCACCTGCCCAGCTACCACTCAAATTCTTGAGCCTCAATGGCCAACAAAAGCATAGATGCATAGGAAGGGACCAAGCAACGGGGAAGGACTCCAGCAGTACAGCCTCAATGGAAGCCCCAGCAGTAGCCAAAAAAGTGTCCAACAGTAGCACCCATCCAAAGATACTCTCGCAAAAGCATCTAGCAGCATCCTGCTCCTCTGAAAATACGAAACCGCCTGCTTCTCTGGAAAACAGACTGGGAGCTGGAGCCCGATTAAAAAAAAACGCTGCCAGGTCCAGAAGGCAATACCAAACATGATTTGCAAAATGTTCCCTCAAAAACACTGCATAACACCATAAACTGGGCAGTGCAGTAAAGGAGTAAGCATGGCCAGAATGCTGTACTCTAGTTCAATTCAGCTTGCTTCCAACCTCTGTTCTGAACAGTCGTCTCCCTCCAAGAAAGAGCTTTAATCAAACAACCAATGCACAAGTATCTACAAACACTCATGAGGACAATAGCTCTCTCTCTTTCCGCCATCTTAACTGAAAACTGGTCACGTCTGGGTCCTGACTAGGAAATCTAACCCATCTTAATATTATTTGTGCCAAAAAAACCCAAAACCCACTACACTTCCATCTGCAACAACAGCTGGCTACCAGTTCAGCCAGATGTGGCTTCAGCTTTCCTGAAATTTGTGGCGCCTTTGTGACAGGAGGTGATAGAAATCCTTAGAGTGACAATGAAAATTGGCATACGGATAACTGTGGAGCAGGAGATCTGACAGCCACATCACCTTGGCATTCAATCTCGGCTGACAATTTTTACATCACATCAGAACACTCAGAACATATGCTTTAGAAGCAGTTGTGTGAATCTGACTTAACAAAAAACAAACAAGTCACAAGAGGCCAAGAATCCTGGGAATACATTCGTCTAAAACTGTACTCTTATTATACGGAGTCTATAATGGAAAAAAAAAATCCTGTTTTCCTTTCAGCTTGACTTAGCACACATTCATTAGACAAATTATGTGCATATGATTCTGTTGGATCAGAATCTCCACACTTGATTTTCAACAGCAGTCTTTGCGTTGCAGGCTGTAACATTTGGCAAAAGACGCATTGTTCTAATTAACACATGTTCCGAGAGAGGCACTCTGCCTCAAATGTTTTATTTGATCAAATGTTTGCCTTTCTACACGCACCAAAGATAAATCATTGCTCCATGTTTTAAAACAAGACAAAACAGAGAGATGTTTATATGCGCTAGGAAGCCTCTGGAAGACTGTTTGAACTCCATGAAATCCAGTGACAGCTGGCATCACAATGCAGAGAATGGCCTGCGGGAATAAACATTGGCTGCTGTCGAAGAGAAAGAACAAGAGCTAATTTGCTGGTGGAGAAATCAAGATGGCTGAGACAATTTTCAGGGCCCAAGTAGGCAAGGTGCTGTTTCTGGGCTTCTCAAGGAAAGGAAGCTACACAGGTAGTCTTTGTTTAAGGATCACCAGCAAATACAATGAAGCAGCCAGTAGGAAGTTGTGGTTATGTGAGGTCCCACTGTGCAATCCTTGATTTAAAATGGCAACCGGGACTTTTGGGACTGCTGTCGCTAAACAGCATGGTCATTTTTTTAAAATTTACAACCAAACCCATTAACAATAGTGTCCCAATTAATGGAGTTTAATCAAATATCTTTATTATGGTCATTGACTAGCCCGTGATGGTGAACCGATGGCACGCATGCCAGAGGTGGCACACAGAGCACTCTCTATAGGCATGTGAGTCATTGCCCTAGCTCAGCTCTGCTGCGCATGCACACGCGTGTCTGACAGTCTTTGGGTCCATGCCACGCATGTGCGAGGCCGGGTGAACACATGGGGGGGTGAGCGCTTGCACGGGGCATGCACAGCCCCCCCCGTGCATGCGTGGACAGTTGCATGCGCATGTGTGGGGGCATGGGGGTTGCGCACGCATGCGCAAGGAATGGGCAGGGTGCATGCATGTTGCATTTTGGGGATGTGTGTGCCGAAAAGGTTAGCCATCACTGGACTAGGCCTTAAAGGAAGTCTGTTTTTTTTATCTATAGGTACCTCATCAAACTGAACAGGATCTTTTCTTAATCTCCTATACTCTGAAGTGATTTAGAAAGGATATGTTGGTAAAATGAAATCAGTGGCAGCTCCAAATTTTGGGGGGTTTGGTGGTCAGAGAAGAAAGTCAGAGGCAGGTAGACTTCACTCAGTCAGGCTTCTTTTCAGAATACTTGGATGGTTGACTCAAATAATCTCTTTCAAAAATATTTGGCAACAGAACCAAACAACTCCCTCCCTGAAGGCTGATCTACCCCATGCTGACCATGGCTGTCCTTCCAATCCCTCCTTAGGGAACATGAGAGAAGAAGGACGTTTGTGCTCTCTCAGTGGCCACTGTGACTTTAAAACTGGAGCTCCAATGTATCTAGAAAGGAGACGAGGTTTTGATCATGTGGCCACTATCTCAACTTTTGATTCCTCTCCCAAAGAGGAATGGACAGTGGATAACTTGCAAAAACATGGACCTCAGAATGTGCCCGCCCCATCCTAAAATTAATTCCTGGAAAAAATTATTGAAGCCACTTCTTTTCTCCTTCTTTATGAAAAGACAATGCATACTTGCATTTTTTTTTCTTCTCTTAGCTACTTCAGGGGCTTGAAAACACAGAAAATTAGCAGATTATATTCTTAATTTATTTCTAGCTTTCAAAATTAAGTTGTGATGGAAGATTAAGCAAAGGATCTGAAATCAAGTTCCAAGCTCAACTTTAGGACTATTTCACATAGTACAAATAGTCCTTGACTTATGACTTGAAGTTATGATGGAATCCTCTCCCCCGCCAAAAAGGTATTAATTATTCAGTTTCGAAATTATGATGCCCCCCTCACCTCCAGTTATGTGACTGCATTTTCAGTGCTTGGCAGCTGAGCCTCATCTACAACTATTCGCACTGTTCCTCGATTCCGTTATATAATTTCCCCCAAAATAGAACACTGCAAACAATGATTCACTTAGCAACCACTTTACAACTGGTGTTCGCTAATGACCACTGCAAAAAACTTTGGGTTGATTACATTGTACAACTGTCAAGACTTATGACCACAATTGCCAGGTTCCATTATGGTTATAAATCGAGGATTACCTATATACTAAAAATATACTTTCACCATTATGGATGAATCAGAAATACAAAGACAGTACAGGTAGTCCTCGACTTACAACAGTTCATTTAGTGTCCGTTCAAAGTTATAACGCCACTGAAAAGAGTGACTTATGACTGTTTTTCCACAAATATGACCGTTGTAGCATCCTTGCAATCACATGATCAACATTCAGATGCTTGGCAACTGGTTCATATTTATGACGGCTGCCGTGTCCTGCCTGGGATCATGTGATCAACTTTTGCGACCTTCTGACAAGCAAAGTCAATGGAAAAGCCAGATTCACTTAACCGTCGTGATTAACTTCACAAATGCAACAATTCACTCAAGGGTGGGATGCAAATATTTTTACTACCGGTTCTGTGGGCCTGGCTAGGTGGGTGTTACTAGGCGGGCGTGGCCATGTGACTGGATGGGCATGGCTTCTTTTTTTGCAGGCCCCCCTCCTTTTGCTTCCGGGAAGCCGCCTGGGAGGCCATTTTTGCTCCCAGGAAGCTTCCCTGAGGCCCAGCTGTGCCGGGATCCCCCTCGCTGTCTTACTGCTTCGCCCAGGCGGCTTCCCTGAGGCCCAGAAGGCAAAAAATGGAGTGCCCCCGGCAGGCATACATACACCCCGGCACACCCCTTTTTGCCTCCTGGGCCTCAGGGAAGCCTCCTGGGCGAAACAGTAAGACAGCGAGGGGGATCCCAGTACAGCTGATCGTCAGAACAGCTGGTTTACTACCGGTTCTCCAGAACCGGGCCAAACCAGTAGAATACCACCACTGGATTCACTTAATAACTGTGTCAAGAAAAGTTGTAAAATGGGGTAAACTCAATTAACCAATGCTTCACTTAGCAATATTAATTTCTGGCTCAACTGTGGTCATAACGTGAAGACTACCTATACCAGTCCTGGTCTTCTTATGCATATATTATCCTTATGACACGCACATCTTTCCATCGTTTGTAAAAAGTTTGCAGACCTACAAATTAGGTTTCAGATGAATCATTTAATTGATACAAATATACACAACAGGAAAACAAAGAAAGAAATATAATATACATAAAACCTACTACAAAACCTGAATCTGAATGAGTTGAACAAAGTATATTTGCACCACAGTTCCTTCTTTTTTCATCCCAACAACCGAATGCAAAAATGACCCTATTTTGAAGCAACTCTGATTTGTGAAAGTATACCACAAATATACTATTATTTGCCATATTTGTCTTCCTAGATAACAGAACAACTTCAAGTATTATTTTCAGACTGCTGATGCAATATAAAAACACAGTTTTAACTTCTTTAAGGCATTTTCTTTTGTGTTTTTTCAAATTTATACTGTAAATAAGTTACATTATATTCAAATGTGCTTTTTAATTAATCGGAGATGCAGTCTAAATCTGCTTAAAAGGTTTTCATCTGATTAATGTAACCAATTATCGGAAGCACGAGTAAAACTGCATCCCTTTTTAATTCTATTTACAACAATACATCACTAACCTTATTGTTGATTATAGCTTCAGAGTCATCAAAGACAAAATCTCCATCGTAGCTGTTCACAAAGCAGATAATGGAAAAAAGTCCCACAATGGTTTTAGCCCAATATGGTGGAAGGGTCAGGAGTGGTATATCGTGGTCCAGGTTAACTTCTCCCTGCGCCATTCTGCACACTTCTGGTTAAGAATGTGGAGTACCAACATTATGCTGGTTGTGAATCTAAAAGACATATGAGATAAATGCATAAAGAACCAACTCAGCCCTGAGCTGCAAATACTCTCTTCTATCTGAGGCAACTCAGCTTGACCCATTTTTTAATGTGTATTTACTAACACATAAAAATATTTCGCTGTCCACTTGTTAACACCCATGGATGGTACATCATTTGTGACATATTGGTAGTTGGAGGAGAGGGGGCTGTATGAGGAGAAAATAAAATAAAAACTCCTTTCATTATTATAAAAAATCTTTTTCAGCTGTATATAAAGGTGTAGTTTAAATGTCTTTGATACTCACTAAGGATGTAATAAGCAACAGCCTGAGTAAGTTATTGTAAATATTCTGTTTTTAAACGACTACTTGGCAAGTGTCTGCATCCAATACTTTAAGATTCTGGAACTCAAAACCTATTTTCTATAAACCTAAATTATTTTTTTAAACAAAGATGATGTAGATGACTGCCTATCTTAAATACAGGTAGTCCCCAACATACAACCACAATTGAGCCCAAAATTTTTGTTGTTAATTGGAACATTTGTGAAGTAAACTTTGCCCCTATTTTATGATCTTTTGTGCCACAGATGTTAAGTTGGTAACATGGCTGTTAAGTAAATCTGCCTTCCCCACTGAATATGCTTGCCAGAAGGTCGCAAAAGGTGAACATATGACCCTGAGACACTACAGCTGTCATAAATATGAGTCAGTTGTCAAGCATCTGAATTTTGATCACATGACTACAGGGATGCTGAAGTGGTTATAAGTGTGAAAAATGGTCATAAGTCACTTTTTTCAATGCTGTTGTAACTTTGAACAGTCAAAGTTGAATGAACTGTTGTATGTTGAGGACTACCTGTGATACAATTGTGTGGCCAGGAGTGGAAATACTACAGTTGCATGTCATCAATGTAGTGATATTTCACCCTGTGCTGACAGATGACCTCATTCAGAAGTTCCATGCAGATGTTAAATAGAAATGAGAAATGAGTAGAGACACTGGACACAAGAAGTCCCAAAAGTGATGGCTTCTTAGGTGAGAAGCGAAACATCTTCAAAGAAAAACCAGAAAGTCCAGTTGCCTCTTGAAAAAGCATCTTTGGGCAACCATGACATGGATGACTGAGAATCTTCATCCACACAAGAAGGTCTAGGGTTGGGCCTTTTCTCCCCTATCAATATTGAAAGAGGAAAGCCACTATAATGGCGGTTCTATTCTCAATTCCTGAAGCCAATTCCAGAAGAATATTATGGTTGATGGTATCAAAGGCTGCTGACATTTTGGAAGGCAAAAATGGACATGGGCCCCCTCCTTGAGACCTGCAAAGGTAACCCACAAACATGAACAATGCTATCTCAGGATTGTAAGCAAGCCTGAAATCTTATTGAAAAAGGTCCAGCATGATCTTTCTAAGATCCTACAACAAGAACAGAAATCCTGTGGCCCTTCAAATTTTGCTAAACTAGAACTTGACACTCGTGATCAAATATGTCGACTGAGAGTACAATCCACATCTGAAGAACTGTAAATTCCTCAGAGAGTAAAGAGAGAGCAGAAAGTAAAGAGAATGACCTTGATGGAGACAACCATTACCAAAGCAACAAGGAAGAAAATATTGTTTAAGTCCAGACAATAAAAGAGGAATGCAAAAAACGGCTTAGACAACACTTTCCTGAGTTGTTTTTCTTCCATTAACAGCTTATTTATTCCTTTATGTAAGTAGTGTTGTCATTGTTTTTAAGAGTGTTATTATGCCGATACAAGCAGATTTTATGCTAACTTAGAATGATAAGTTATTTTTATGATATTGAATGAACTTAGGCTACAGTTCTTCATCACCTTAACTGAGAGTAAATTCCTTTGAACTGTTACTTCTAAAAGCCTTTTTAGATATCTGAATACAATTCATTTTACTAGAATTTTGTCACGGAGGGTAACATGGTTAAAAACAAGCAGGTTCTTCAAAACCTCTAGCACATATGCTCTTGAGACTAATTTGCATCTCTTTTCAATTTTTATCCTGTTAATATCTAGTTTCCTTTTCTCCTTCCAAGCAACTTTTAAGCAAATCTATCATCCAACCAACATATGCTTCTTTCCTCGTCCGTATTCTCATCTTTCCTCCCAAACTCTAACTGAATTAACTAACAGTGACTTCATTCACAGAATGATGGAAAATAAAATGTCTGCTTTTGTAGGAGGGCTAGTATGGAATAGTATGGTATACAAAAGATGGAAAGAACTTGACAATACAAAAGCATCAAGAATGACAGTACATTAGTGTGGACAACAAAGAGAGCAGCAAATTCTGCTAACCCAGATTTTCAGTGCGGCTTTGAGGAATCCCAAAGATCTCTTTCAAGCTAGGTCCCAAAGGCTGCAAATTTATGAATGGCTGGAAATTTGGAAGCTTTGGTCTTCATCCGGGTATTTCAGAATGAAATCTTCCTTACTGTTCCTTTCCATCACTAGCAGAGAATTCTTAATTTTCAATAGAAGAGATTACATGTAGTGGAAGATTGAATTGTCAAAGTCATTGGTAGATTCTGAGCTTGGTTGTTTCATTATCCAACCAGGTAATAACTGGGTGACCTGGTGGAATGAAGAATTGTCAAGTAGACCGACTCTTTGCTAATTCCTCTCTGGACAAGGAGAGGATGTGAGAGTCTCCACAAGTGCTCCAGACAGTTGCTCTTCACAAGGAGTTGCAAGACAACAGATTCCAGTGGGTTTAGAAGGGTCTAGAATAGGAATCCCCAACCTGTGGGCTGCAGCCCACTAAAGGGCCACGGACTCTTGGCCACCAGGCTGCATAAGTAGTTAGCCAATGCATGTGCGCACATCTCCTTTGCACTAGCATCACGAGTGCTGCACAGGTGCTACCCATTGCAGCCCTCTTCACATGTGTGCATGCATGCATAAAGGTACCTCTTCCCCTTCCAGGCCGCCAATCCAGAAAGGTTGGGGAACTCTAGAATAATGAGCTGCAGACACAAGGGTGAGTCTACTTCATCAACCCACCATGGCTATAAATAAAGAGAAAGAACACTTAAATTTGACTTACTAATTTAGAATGGGCCATTATATTTTAATATTAAAAAAACCTGAAGAATAGACTGTTCAAAAGATGTCATGGAAGAAGAACCAGTTTTATTGGATAAGACAGGGACTGATCTGAAAGTAGAAAGCAGGTTTAAAAAATATAGCTTATAAAGAATGACATGGAAAACATGCTAAACTAGACATACAAGAGAAATCACCTTAAGTCTTAATAGATGTCATTAGACAAGAGATACACAAATAACAAACTAAGAGAGAGACCTGGGTAATTTTCTGAGAAGGAACAAATAAAAATAAAAATAAATCAAGTTCTAGGATATTATTTGAAGGGATTAAAGATCAAGACAATTAAAAGTGACCAGAATATAAAGTTGGTTTATTTGATCAAAGATAAAATAGATATATTGTTATTTCTGGTAACCCTTAATGGACTTTTGCTGATCAGAACTGAAATGATGAGGTTTCAAGGATTTGTTTATAGGTAAGAGATGGGATATGGGAAGAAGAGATAATTTGCTTCATTTTAAGAGAAGATGGTAGGTTACTAAACTGTTTATATTTAAAAGACCCAGATTATTGGGGGAAATATGCTGACTCTGTAAAGTGCTTAGAGAGGGCTTTAAAAGCACTGTGAAGCGGTATATAAATCTAAGTGCTATTGCCATTGCTATAAGGGGAACTCATTTTCTATCTTTTTCCTTACTATATTATTTTTTTAGTTTGTATTAATTTTTATTCTTGTAAGTGTATTTTTTTAAATAAAATTGTCATTAAAAAGAGAATATGCCTTATCTCTTTAATATGTTGCTTGCTTTTGCAAACAAGTATATATTAGATGACAATAGTATAAGAGGGGTTTGAAATAAATGCTGGCAGCAAAATACATTTTAAAATTGTCTTCCTTTATGTCTTACTCTTACTCTTAGGCCTATCATCTCAAGGAAACAAGAAAAAAAAAATCCACTACAGTTCATACCCACAAGCTCTTTGTTTACTGAACCTAGATAACCTTGTCAAAACTTAAAATACTGGAACACAGATCTCAAGGGGCCTCCAATTTCACTTTACTGATCACAATCTGTGACCCTATATTATTGAGGGGGTGGGGGAATTCAAGCAAAACATTGCAATTCCTGTGCTAAATAAAAAAGATTTCTTAATGATTTTTTAAATTTGAGATAGCAAAAAAGGAAAGGGAAAAGAAAGAAAAACCCAGCTGTGATTTGACCAACAGATGACACCAGATCTCCCAAGTAAAGCCCTTTCTGAGAATGGGAAATAAATTAATTTGTAGTGGACATTAATTGGTTGAGTCTACAATCCAGCCACGGTTACTATAGCAATATCTTCTATATTGATTTCTATAAAAATACACAAAGTGCCATACTCGGGCTAATTATCTTCTTGTTTTTATGCTATCATTGTCATTCCCTTCTGTTTTAAAGGCAATCTTCAGGGCAAAAACGATTTAGTAGGGAGAAAAGATAAATAGGAGATTAATAACAATTTTCAGCAAGCTGTAATGGAGGTTCCCAAAGAGAAGAGCAGAATACCATCTTTTTCTAGGCAAAGAATATCCTTTGGAACTAAGTTTTGAAATTCTCCAGAATGAATTCCTCCCCCACTCTCACACACTGTAAATTTATTCAAATGAGATGTGTTATTACGCCCAAGGATATGTGTGTGTGTGTGTCCTGCATTCAGAACACACAAATGCACACACATCCTATATATCTCAACAGAAAGACTTAGGGAATTCTATTCACCTATGCGTGCCTATTTAAAAATATGTCCCATTGACAATTGGTACAAATGGTTGAACAATAGGAATAAGATTAATAAAGATAAGAAGATTGTAGATAAATGTACATAAATAAGATATTGAGATTTGTATATGTATTAATGATGTCACAGTGTTGTTAAAGATGAGAATAAGATTTTTAAAATGTGAAAAAGCATAATAAAAATAAATAAATATGTCCCATTGAATTCAATGGGATTACATGAAAGCAAGCATACACAGTTGATCAGGAACTTATCTGCACGGCACCGGCATACAGGGAACTTTCTGATGTGTGACCGAAAAACTGATCATAAAATTTTAAAGTTGGAATATGTCCCATGCATACCCCTCAAATTGGAGGATTGGTTCTACACATTTTGCCAGCAGGAAATTTCCATTGTGGCAGGTGAATCCATTCCTAAGATGGACCGACCAGGAAGCCTTCATGCGGGTTGTCCCAAAGATGCTTTTCCCCCCCCCCCCCCAAGAGGCAACTGGTCTTTCTGATTTTTCTTTTAAGATGTTTTGCTTCTCATCCAAGAAGCTTCTTCAGCTCTGACTGGTTGCCTCTTGGGGAAAAAAAAAAGCATCTTTGGGACAACCATGACCTGAATCATCTGAGAATCTCCACAGACACTTAACACGGGTTCTCTATTGAGATTCTCAGTCATCCCGGTCATGATATGCTTTTTCAAGAAGCAACTGGACTTTCTTTTCTTTCTTTTTTTTCCTTCGAAGGCATTTCTCTTCTCATCCAAGAAGCACAACTCAGGTGACTCTGAGCACCCGGACAAACCTCCAAAGGGGCTTCAACGACCCTCCAAAAAAGAATGCAAACGACCAGCTGTCTGTCTGTCTGCAAGGAGAATAAATCCTTCCATTCCCCACCATCCAGTCAGAGCTGAAGAAGCTTCTTGGATGAGAAGCGAAACGTCTTCAAGGAAAAACAAAACAAGAAAGTCCAGTTGCCTCTTGGGGAAAAGAGAAGGCGGGGGGGGGGGGGAAGCACCTTTGGGATTTAACGCAGATTCTTTAAGCTCCTTGCAAAGACCGGCCGCGGAAGGTCGGTTGGATGCAGGTCGCCCAGGGCTATGTCCGGTAGCCTTAAAGGCCGAGGGGAGTCACCTGGGAGGTGAGCGCAGAGAAGTTTTGCGCGGCGGTGAGGTGGCGGGGTGGGTTCTTCCCGGGAACGTGGAAGGGACGCTTTCCCCGAGTCCGCCCGGCGGCAGAGAAGCAGGTCCTCGGGAAAAGATCGCGGCCGGTTAGAGCAGCGCCTCCGGGGCAGGTAAAAATAAAAAATAAAAAAAGGAGGGACCGAGCGGGCGCGGACAGGCAGGAGGACAAACGCCTGAAAAAAGTGGCGGGGAGAGCCGGACACACACACACACACACACACACACACACACACACACCCGCCCGCGTTTGCGGTGTGGCTCCTCCGGCGATTCCTTTTGTCCTGAGCGCCGCTCTGGCGGAGGGAGCCCCCCCCCTTCCCCCCGCCGCCGCACGCGGGGATCCTAGTTCCCCCCCACAGCCCTGCCCGTCCCGCGGCCGCCGCCAGAAACTCCCC